GGATAGGCTATTTCTCGGTGCCTCCACCCCTCCAGAAGCCATTTGAGGTTTCAGTGTCTGACACGGACTCAAGAGCAGAGTTCAGGCTGAATGAGTGTGTTCCAAGGGCACTGTCCTTCTCCACCCTGGAAGTCGCAGACAGCCAACTCCAGTAGGCTCCAGTAAGGGTGGAAGGAATGAAGCATTAACTCATCCAGACAGCAATCTTTGGTACTGGATATTTTTAAATTACTTCCAGTGCTTTCTCCTTGAAAAATTCATGAGCCATGAGCACCTAGGAAGCTCTACTGACAGAAGGACCAGTGCAAGCAGGATGACTGATCCTGGCTCCCTGTAAACAAAAGACTGGGGTCTCCTTTCTTGTCCAGGGTCCAAAGCTGGTGACTGGCAAAACTAGGATTTCAATCAAGCAGGATTGCTTCTGTGAACCATGGTGCTAATCCAGTTGCCTTGGGCCATCCAGGTAGAGACTACATTTAGATTTAGATTTCATGAGCCATGCTCTCTAAACAAGGAGATCCAGGAATCTGAGTGAATGAATGTCCCTCAGTGATTCTGACCAGGTCTGTAATTCACCCTTGTGCCCCACAGCAGAGACTCCAGTGCCTGGCCTCACCCCTTCCAAATTATACACATTGAAAACTTATCTCCTGTGATATTTAAAAAAACTTTTTTCTTGGATTTTTTTTTTTTTTTTTTGAGACAGGGTCTTGCTTTGTCACCCAGGCTGAAGTCCAATGGTGTAATCTCAGCTCGCTGCAACCTCCACCTCTCAGGTTCAAGGGATTCTCGTACCTCAGCCTCCCAAGTAGCTGGGATTACAGGCACCTGCCACCACACTCTGCTAATCTTTGTATTTTTAGCAGAGATGGGGTTTCACCATGTTGGCCAAGCTGGTCTCAAACTCCTGACCTCAAGTGATCTGCCTGCCTCATCCTCCCAAAATGATGGAGTTTTGCTCCCGTCACGCAGGATCTCAGCTCACTGCAACCTCCACCTCCCTGGTTCAAGCAATTCTTGTCCCTCAGCCTCCCAAGTAGCTGGGATTACAGGCATGCACCACCACACTTGGCTACTTTTTGTAATTTTAGTACAGACTCTTTCACCATGTTGGCCAGGCTAGTTTTGAACTCTTGACCTCAGGTGATCCACTAGCCTCAGCCTCCCAAAGTGCTGGGATTACAGGCGTGAGCCACTGCCCCCAGCCCTTTATAATTTTTATTTTCTTTCTTTCTTTTTTTTTTTTTGAGATAGGATTCTACTTAGTCACCCAAGCTGGAGTGGAGTGGGATAATCACAGCTCAGTGCAGCCTCGAATTCCTGGGCTCAAGCCAGAGAAAGCGCTGGGAGTAATGGTTGGTATGTTTAACTGGATATGCCACCACCTCCTTTACTGTGATTTCCCCTCCATACAAAAGTAGTAGCTGTTGAGTGTAGAATATTTGGAAACTATGAACAAGCTGAAAAAAAAAGAGAGAGAGAAAATTAAAATAAACCTTGATTTCACCCCACAGAGGTAACCATTCTTTATACTGCTTTAGCATAAAACCTTCTGTATTGTTTATAATATAACTATCACATGTATAACAGGTATTTTATGTAAATATGTCTTTATAAAAGTAGAAGCATACTCAATTATTTTATTGATTGATATGGTTTCGCTGTGCCACCCACCCAAAATCTCATCTTGAATTGTAATCCCAATAATCCCCATAATTCCCACGTGTCAAGGAAGGGAGCCAGTGGGAAGTGTTTGGATTATGGGGGCGGGTCCCCCATGCTGTTCTTGTGATAATGAATGAGTCTCACAACATCCGATGGTTTTATAAGCATCTGGCATTTCCCCTGCGTGCACTCGTTCTCTCTCCTGCCACCCTGTGAAGCCGTACCTTCTGCCATGATTGTAAGTTTTCTGAGGCCTCTCCAGCCATGCAGAACTGTGAGTCAATTAAACCTCTTTTCTTTATAAATGACCTAGTCTCAGGTATATTCCCTCATAGCAGTGTGAGCATAGACTAATACACTGATACCTTGGTTTACAACAGATTATGAGCATCTCTTTATGCCATTGATGAGTCTTCCAAAACATTATTTTTATTTTATTATTTTATTTTTTTTTGGCAGAGTCTTGCTCTGTCACTGAGGCTGGAGTGCAGTGGTGCGATCTTGGCTCACTGCAACATTTACCTCCAGGTTTAAGCGATTCTCTTGCCTCAGCCTCCTGAGCAGCTGGGACTACAGGCGCAAGCCACCATGCCCAGCTAATTTTTGTATTTTTAGTAGAGACAGGGTTTTAGCATATTGGCCAGGCTGGTCTCGAAGTCCTGACCTCATGATCCACCCACCTTGGACTCCCAAAGTGCTGGGATTACAGGCGTGAGCCACCGTGCCCGGCCCCAAAACATAATTCAATATCTACATGGTATTCCTGTCTCTGGCTATACCTTAAACCATTTTCCAATCCCCTCTTACTGGACATTTGTTCTGAATTTTTCACCAACATAATTAATGTTGCAAGGTACATTGTGTAGCTGCTCATAATCACAATTACTTAGGGCAATCCCTAAAAAGTGAAATGTGGGGATCATGAGATATAAATATTTGTAATACTTTCTGTCCATATTGCCAGATTGTCTCTAGAAAGATTGCACCACTTACTCTCCCCATCATCAGTATGTGAGATTCCATGTTTCACTGACCTGAGCCCTAACTTAATTGGTTAAGAAAAAGCCTCGTTTGCTGTAAGTTTGATCAGAAAAATAAAAGAAAGAAAGAAAAAAGTCTCTGATAAGTTGGTCGCTGCTCAGTCTAGCAGAAATGTAGACAATGGATTTACTGGGAGATTGAGCTCTTCTGGGGCAATAGGAAAAAATCATCTCCAGTTAATGGGGAGAATTCATGGTGGAGGGAGTTCATAGCTCATAAAGAGATATTCATGTGACACCTGTAAGCCTTTTGGGTGACATTAGGCCTACATTAGTATCTCTAGATTTTATGTATTTATTTATTTACTTTTCTTTGTTGAGATGGAGTCTCACTCTGTTGCCCAGGCTGGAGTGCAGTGGTGCAATCTCAGCTCGCTGTAATCTCCACCTCCCAGGTTCAAGCGATTCTTTTGCCTCAGCCTCCTGAGTATCTGGGACTACAGTCCCACGCCACAACACCTGGCTAATTTTTTTTTTTTTTTTTTTTTTTGTATTTTTAGTAGAAATAGCATTTTACCATCTTGGCCCGGCTGATCTTGAATTCCTGGCCTCAAGTGATATGATCACTTAGGCCTCCCAAAGTGCTGGGATTACAGGTGTGAACTACCGCACCCAGCCTAGGTTTCATTTTCTGATTCCAGGAATTGCTTAAATTTGGTAGGATGCAAACTCCTGGCTGAGAGGTGATAATGAAAGGGAAGATATTGTTTTGTGTTTAGAAGAAAAAAATATGAAGTAGAAGGAAGTGGTTGGAATAACATAAAATATATCCTCCTGAAATCCATGAACACAGCAGTAGAGAGCTGGAGGAGAGCATCTGGGTAACTGGAAGGAAAGCCACATTGACTGGCTGGAAACAACAGTTCATGATTTCTCCTAGTCCTGTGGGTTGGCTGAGCAGTTCTCCTGTGGCTTCTGCCTGGACTGGTCCTGCCACTGGAATCAGCTGGAGGGTCAGCTGGGCTGGAAAGTCCCAGATGACCTCAGTCACACAGGGCCTTCCATGTGGTCCCGCAGCTTCTGGAAGTCTAAATGGACTTCTTTACCTGCTGGTCTTGGGGCAGCCTTTCACAAGGACCCAGGCAGAAGTTGCAAGGCCTCTTAAGACCTGTATTCCAAACTCACCCGCCCTCACTTTTTCCCATAAATTTACATGCATGGTGGTAAAGTATATGGGACATCAAATTTACCATTTTTACCATTTTTGTGTGTTTGTTTGTTTTAGAGATCGGGTCTTGCTTTGTGGCCCAGGCTGAAGTGCAATGGCATGATCACAGCTCACTGCAGCCAAAACTTCCCCACGCTTGAGCCATCCTCCCACCTCCGCCTTCTGAGTAGCTGGAACTATATGTGTGGGCCACCATGTGGACTAATTTTGTTTATTTTTTGTAGAGATGGGGTCTCCCTATGTTCCCCAGGCTAGTCTCAAACTCCTAAGCTCAAGCAATCTTCCTGCCTTGGCATCTCAAAGTGTTGGCATTACAGACATGAGCCACCACACCTGCCCCATTTTAACTTTTTTTTTCTTTTTGAAACAGAGTCTTGCTGTGTCACCAGACTGGAGTGCAGTGGCACAATCTCAGTTCACTGCAACCTCCACCTCCCAGGTTCAAGCGATTCTCCTGCCTCAGCCTCCCGAGTAGCTGGAACTACAGGGGGGGTGCCACAGTGCCCAGCTATTTTTTCTGTATTTTTAGTAGAGATGGGGTTTCAACATATTGGCCAGGATGGTCTCAATCTCTTGACCCTATGATCTGCCACAGCCTCCCAAAGTGCTGAGATCACAGGCGTGAGCCACCGCGCCCGGCCTTTAGCCATTTTTAAGTATGCAGCTCAGTGGCATTAACTTTATTCACATGGTTGTGTGACCAACACCAGTATCCATCTCCAGACCTTTTTTCATCTTCCCAGATCAAACCCCTATTTCCATCAAACACCAACTCCCCATTCCCCATTTCCCCAGCCCCTCACACCCACCACTCTAATTTCTATCTATGGATTTGATGACTCTAAATACCTCATAAAAATGGAATCATACAGTATGTGTCATTTTGTGACTTCTCTTAGCATAATGTCTGAGGTTCATCCATAGTGTAGCATGTGTCAGAATGTCCTTTCTTTCTATGGCTGGATAACATTCCACTGTACATTTTGTCTATCCATTCATCTGTCTATGGGCTCTTGAGTTCTTTAATCCAGCCTCCTTTTCTGCTATGTTCTATGAGACAAAGCAAGCCCCAAGGCCAGGCCAGACTCAAGAGGTGGATGGTGCAGACTCTATCAATTGATGAGAGGAGCAGCAATGTCACATTTTAAGGGACAAGGACACAGGAAGACCTGATTCACTGGAAGCCATTTTATAATCCAGATCTACTACAGAACCAAATGACAACAGGGACATCTGAAAAGACCTTGGCAGAAGTACAGTGAAATTTAACTGGTTTTGAGTATGAAGTCCAGAACACTGGCTCAAAGAATAACTTGCATAGGAAGGAGACAGTGAGTGTGTTTGTGGCCCATAGATTTTGGGTGAGATAACCACTGCTTCCTTCCAATTCAAAGATGTAATGAATTTAGTGCCATGTTTGTGAGTTTCATACAAACAAGCTTTGCATACGGAGTTTAATTGTCTGTGCGGCAGATGAAATGGAAATACTAGAAAATGGGCAGGAATGAAAGCAGAGGACCTACGCTCTAGTCTTCTCCATTTCCCAAAGAAAAACAGCCGTGTTACTCTAGGTTAATTCCACATCTTCTCTCTGCTTAAGGTTTCTCCGTAGTAATATGGAAACCATCATATCTATCTTGTCATGAACAGACAATGAATTAAAGTTTGTGAAAATCATTTTTAAAGAAGGAAAAACATGATGTGCCGCTCCCTCTGTGTGCCGGGAGATCTCTTTCAAGTCCACACGTGTTCTCTTCCGGTGTCCAGTTCTCTCTCTGCTTCCCATCTGGGGTCATGGACAGTGGTCTTGTCTTTGCTTTATCTGATTTCTCTGTGAAGTACAGCCAGGTGCCCCCGAAAGACTACAGAGCTAAGTTTACCAGGACGCTTCCTGGTACCCTTTGATTTCAAAGTACACTGTGGGTTCTTAATGCATGTTAAACAGTAACGACGGTCACAACAGAAATAGCCAGCTGTCCCCACTTACGTGCTCTTTACTGTGCATTGTCCTGTCCCTCCTGTGGGGGTGGGGGCTGTGAACAGAGGCCCTCAGAGTGACGTCTTGAGGAGGAGGAAGGCAGGCTGCCCTGTCCACATAGTTAGCAGGACCTGAAGTACAAGGCGGAAGGAAGCCTCCGAGCCTTAATGTCTCCATCTGCAAATTGGGGGTGATGCTGGGGCCAGATTAAGGTAAAATGAGTGAGGCCAGGTCCTGCAAGTACAGGGAGGGATGATGTCTTGATTTTAAATGTTGACAATCTATTCAATATGAATTTTTTTGCGTTAACTTCGATTTTTAAAATTACAATGAAATATTGTCTTCATTATTGCTTTTGGGGTACCCCTTTAGATTTTGTGCATGGGGCAAATGTCTCCCTTACCTTGCCCCAATCTCACCCCTAGAGAATAATGCCAAACTCATAGGGGTTGTTTCAAAGATTTTTTTTTTTTAAGACAGAGTCTCACTCTGTTGCCCAGGCTGGAGTGTAGTGGTGCCATATCAGCCTCCCAGGTTCAAGGGTTCAAGCAATTCTCTTGCCTCAGCCTCCTGAGTAGCTGGGATTACAGGTGCCTGCCACCACATCCAGCTAATTTTTGTATTTTTAGTAGATGGGGTTTCACCATGTTGACCATGCTGATCTTGAACTCCTGACCTCAAATGATCCACATGCCTCAGCCTCCCAAAGTCCTGGGATTACAGGTGTGAGCCACCACGCCTAGCCTGTTTCGAAGATTAAATGAGGTGATGCATGTAAATCTGTGACAGGCACATAACAAGTGCCCAACACAGGTGATTATAATTACTGCATTCATCTGATCTGTCTCTTTACCTGACAAGAAAACCGAAACTGAGAGAAGCCATGCAATCTACCTGAGATCACCTCGCAGTTGACACGGGTCTGCCTGACTGCAGAAAAGTCCTTTTCATCCCTTTTCTTCTAAGCAGGAAGAAACATGGTTGCAGAGGATGTGGATTGGATCAGACCATTATTGGGAGGCCAAGAGCGAGAGTCCATTTTTCTCCAGGCTAGATGACATTTTCCATTTTATCTTGCGGTTCCTAAGAATGGGCTCTACTCAGGATAAACTGGGCCATCCCTCCATCCCAGCGGCCTTCCTTACAGCTCCCCAAATTCAGGTCAGGTACAGCTGCCAGTCAGTCCCTTCTATGGTGCCGGTTGCCAGTTCACAGCAGTTGTCAACCAACATGTGACTTCTTCATCACTGTCACCTCCACCCAGCTGGGTCTGGGACTCCTTTCATTTCACTCATGATCTGTCCATAATGCCTAGAACAGTGCCTGGTCCAAGTAGCCTCCCCAACAGTGTTGATGGAATGAAAGAACCTGTGAGCAAAGGAATGAGAGAACAAAATTTTCCAGATGAGAAAACTGAGGGTCAGAGTGGTCAGGTGACTTGCTTAGGGCCGCACACCCATGAGTGGCAGAGCTAGAATTCCAACCAGGTGGGCCTGGCTCCAGAACATCTGTCCTCCCCACAGCCCTAGGTTTCAAACACCCTTCCATCTGGATTCCAAACCCTACTCGAATAATCTCCAGCTGACTGCAATTCTCTCTACCTCTTGCCCTCCATTCCCCACCAAATGTTCAAGAATGAAAATATCTGAGAAAATAAGCCAAATTTCTAAAAACAGACATTCACATGTCTGGAAGACTCTTGCATGGGTGATTAAATTAAGAGAAAATATGCTTAAACAGACAGTGCCCCTGCCAAACTGAATTTCTTGTTCGCTGTGTTGTTCTTGGATGAGTAAGTGGGCCCTCCGTGTAAGGTTAGAGCAGAGATAAGTCTGCCCCCAAGAGCGGCACACAGGCTCCCTGGAGCCTGGCTCACAGGACATATCCTCTGCATTTAATTTCTGAAGCTCCCTTGGGAAAATGTCTCCACTTGTGCCATCCAAGGACATCTGGCCACCCCTCTGCAGGTTCCCAAAGCCACCAAGCAAAGAGGAACTGAAGGCACCGAGAAGCTGCTCACTGCTACTCAATGTGTGGTCCCTGGACCAGCAACATCAAAAGCACCTGAGGGCTCGTTAGAAATTTACATTCTCAGGCTCACCCCTAGACCACTTAATCCAAAACACTAGGGGTGGGGCCCAGAAATCTGTATTTTCTCCCGCCTTCCAGGGGACTTTGCTGTCACCAGCCTTGTCTAGCACCAACCTTTGCAGTTTCCCTTGATGGGACTCAGTTCTTAAAGGAAAAAGTGTACCCTGATTTTGGCCAAATGAGGAATTCGGGATCCAAAAAGGGGAAGGGAGTTATCCAAATCTTGGATGCAAAATCAGGTGGAAATGTAGGGATGGAATGAAAAAACAAGGAATCAAAGGGGAAACTGAGTCAGGATGTGGCACCCTGGCAGTACCATAAATCCTCACAGGTGAGCAAAAGGCAGAATGTCAGAACTGAAAGGGACCAACCAACATCTCTTCCTCCATCTCTGTTCCTGAACTGAACTGAAAAGTTCTGCCCTCAAAGCTGTCAGAGAATCTAAGTCACAGGTCAATTACATCAGTCGCTTCAGAGGCTTCCCACTGACCTCAGGCTAAAGTCTAAAGCTGCCTAGCACAGACCCTTTGTGACCTGGCTCCTGCTATCTCCCCAGCCTCATCTCCTGCCCACCTAACGCTGAGTACCCCAGGATTACCAGTGATGTCCAGGTCCCCCACTGCACCTGCTCTCTCTGGTCTCCACACTTGGTCTTGTCCCTGTTAATAAGCTTTCCTACTCCCTGGGCTTATTCACCTACAGAATGTCTCCAGGCACTTGTTTGTCTGTTCCATACACCCCTCTCCCCAACCAACTCTAGTGCAAAAGATGTCCATTTGCCTTTGGGTCTTCCAAACCTCAAGGTCAAAGAATGCAAGTTTCAGCAGTTTCATGCCACTCAGTGACTGCCGCCAAGAAGTATTCAGAAAAAAACCTGTCAGCATGTGGCACACTCAGCAGATGAGCGAAGTCCGGAGGTCTGAGATCTACACCAGAAAAAAGTGGTGAACCTGCATCTCACCATTTTAAGCCACTCTGATATATCACTAGCATTTGCCTCTATTTTTATACCCCAACAAGTCCCTCATTGTGTCTAGGTTGACTTTCTTAATTGCCACCAATGTTGAGCCTCTGGGTAGCACTGGCCTCACTATCAAAAAGCTACAATGTGGCCAGGCATGGTAGCTTAATCCTATAATCCCAGCACTTTGGGAGGTCAAGGTGGGCAGATCACCTGGGATCAAGAATTCAAGACCAACCTAGCCAACATGGTGAAACCCTGTCTCTACTAAACATACAAAAAAATGAGCCAGGCATGGAGGCAGGCACCTGTAATCCGAGGTATTTGGGAGGCTGAGACAATACAATCACTTGAACCAGGAGGCAGAGGTTGCACTGAGCCAAGATCACACTACCGCAGCCAGCCTGAGTGACAGAGCGAGACTCTATCTCAAAAAAAAAAAGAGCTACAATGCATTTTCTAGAAATAAACATTCAGAAGTTGTACCCCAGTCCTAATTCATGAATAAAGATGTGTGGTCACTATCACACCATTTGGTTTAATATTTAGGCAATGTCTTGGTCAGGGAGCACTCCCTTTCCATTGCCTTGTACAATGGCTGTCCGCAGTCCAACACTCCGATGACATGTCTTTCTAACTTTCCAAGCCACACTGGATATGTGCTGTGCAGTTTACTCACTGTACCTCAGAGTCAAGCTGAGCAGCACTGGGAACTATCCAAGGCAAGAAACAGGCATCAGAGAGGACACTGGGTGGCTGGGAGGCTCCTAGAGAGAAAAGCCCGATGGTGGAGGAGGAGCAGAAGTCAGAAGGAGGACAAAATCAAGAGAAGGCCAGCGGCAGAGACAGAGCACTCAGTGGTGCAGGGGGTAGGCTGTAGACACAGAGGGTAGGCTGCATCCTCTGCCAACTGAGGGTGCAGTGACACATGTTTCTGCTTTAAGTGATCCGTTTTTACTTTTAACATTGAAGATTAAAATTAAGTGCATTACTGTAGATCAGTTTACAGGGATTTGGTACATCTGTTTTGGAAATGAAAAACAAAACTGGGTAACATCATTATATGTATTAGCAGAATTGGGGTAGAGTATCAGTATCACCCGGGGCTGCCTCCACGCTACCTCCACTTTTCAACATTCCTCGCGCTTGGTGGGGAAGACATTTGGCTGGGCTTGGTGAGACAGCTGCCCTCCGAAAATGCAAAGAGGTACTGAGTCACAGTCCAGATTCCCCGGGGGCCAGGTAGCAAATACCAGCAACTGCTTCCCCCACAATGAGGGGGTGGCAGGGTGGGCAACTGCATCAACGGCTGTTGCTGGAACCCAGCAGAAGCCCCAGTCATTGGCCCCTGTTCCTGGCTTGACACCCCAGAGCCTCTCGCTTGCCAAGAGTTTTACACTGACCTCCGAGGTTCAGCCGTAAGGGAAAAGACTGGCAAGTTAGATTATTGCTTCAATAATGAGCGAATGGTTTCTGGTTTGCTATTTACACTGCTCTCTGGGAGAGAAAACAAGTCTTCCAACCGAACTCCTCCAATTTCTACTATTTATCCAAGATTACACACATAATCCCATAATAAAACACCGTTCCTGCCCAGAACGCAGAGTGATTGCCTACAGATGTGCCCAAACCAAAACATCTGCACATCCAAAATGGCCACTGGCATGTGATTTTTGTGTGTGTGTTTTTTGTTTTTAAATCTATTCTGGGTTGATAACTGAAATGGCTAATTAACTTCTGAAACTCTCAGAGTGGAAATCCCATCTGGGAGATGAAAAGACACTCTGGTGGCAGCCTCTCCGACGTGCTGCCCAAAATAGGAGGCCATGCTGTGCCTGACTTCAAGTAACACCTTGTAGGCTGATGAAGTTTGGCCTCAACAGCATGCCGTCACTGACACATGAAAATAAAATGCTTTTCTAATGGTGCCTGGCACAGCGTCAGGAAAATACCTCATCTGAATTTTTATTCAGCTGACAAATGACGTGCACCTTTGCCTTTATCCGGCTGCTTTTATTAAATATCTGAGTGCAGCAAAGATTTCTTAATTTGCTCGTTTCTCTCGGTACCATGTAGAATGAGGGCTTAGAATGAAATCGTATCAAGAGGAAAGAGAGATGTCTACCTGCTCACAGCAAACCCCTGGAAATTGCTGGGCCTCCCCGGTGATCATATCACATAATCATCTCAGCTCTACTTTGATTTGTCTCTCAATATACTGTTTAAAAATGTAACCCAATCGCCCAGCCCAACAAGCAGTCTGTTTATTATTACTTTTGATAGAAAGGTTCATAACATCCTATAATGTGTGTGCATTTTTTATTCCGTTTGGCTACTAGACATTGAAACCATTTGGGACATTTATTAAAATGCATTCAGCCGCTCTTTAGGATGAGGTTAATGTGGGATTTATGCCTCTGGTGCACTGTGCACAAAGCGATAATAATGCTTGTTTAGTACTTAGTTCACGTACAAAATGGTCAGCTATTAAAATGGAAGAAATACAAAGATTGACTCAAAAAAGCACAGAGTGGGGAGTGGTAACAGGATCCCTCTCCCTGGAGTCCGCCTTCCACTCCCACCCCTGCAATCCACTGTCCTACAGTAGTCCCAGGGATCATCTTAAAATGATCAAACTAAAAACCTATTGAAATAAAAATAAACAAATAAATTTTAAATGACAAGACTACAAAAATGGAGAGCAGATTCATTGTCAGAGGTTGGGGAGGGGAAAGGAGAAGGGAATCGGGTGTGGAAATAAGAGACAACACAAGGGACCCTGGTTGTGATAGAAATGTTCTGTATTCTGACTGTATCAATGTCAATATCTTAGTTGCAATGTTACACTATAGTTGCAGGTATCATTGTTAGACTTAGTTGCAAGATATTGCCATTGGGGGAAACTGGGTCAGGGGAAACACCAAGTTTCTCTGTATTATTCTTCACAACTGCATGTGAATCTAAAATTACTCAAAATTAAAAACTGAATTAAAAAAACAGAAATCAAACCAAGTCACACTCTCCCTTGTTCCCTGTTCAAAATTTCTGTGGCTTCCCACTTCACCCGAAAGAGCATCCAGTGCTCTTCCCAGAGCCCATGGGGCCCTACACCAGCAGGTTCCTACCTCTTCCCATCATTTCACATCCTTCCACTCTTCCCCTAGGTCCCTCCATGGCAGCCACTCTGGCCGCCTTCTGCCCCTCTGCACTCCAGACTCCAGGCCTCTCCATACGGCGGTCCCCCTGCCTGGAACACCATTGGTTCACATACTTGCATAGCTGCCTCTTGACGATGCAAATCTAGACTTCCATGTCC